TGATTGTCAAAGCGATTTGTTTACCTTTCACTTTTAATAACGTTCCATCAGGTCCGGGTACGGCATCTTTTGCCAAATAAAGAGTGATGATAGTAGTCACTGCTAAATCATTTTGCATCAGCACCCAATTATTGATTTTTCCATCTGCAGCAACAGAAAAAAAGTTGAGTTCTCCATCGGGCAAATCGGGTGCCCATTTTACCTGAAATAAATTATCATGATGATTTTTTCGTCAATAGGCTTTTGATATTAAATTTGGTGAAACATCATAGTATGATGTCCTCACAAATATTTTTGAAGTGCAAATTTTCATGAGAGACTTGAATTGGTTGACCTTCTGTTAGGTAGGCTGTACATTTTGTTTCTCGGTACATTTCGTTTTACGGTACGATTGTAAGTCAAATTCATGATAAAAAAAACGACAACTATAGTATATTGTACGATTTCGGCAAAGTGAATTATTTGATTAATATTGAATTGAAGGGGTTATATTTTTGGGAGTGAATAATTTTTTGGGAAAGAAAGTTTTTGGCTTTCTACTACTTCATCTTGATACAAAAAACAAGGATGAGGGAATCTTCCAAAGAAAGGAAGGAAGCAATCAATTTCAAAATAAGTAATTCTTTACATGGATGTGTAGATCATGCAAAGAAGTAACTTTCAGACACAAACTGAAAGAAAGTCCTCCTGAAACAGCTACTTTCATATAAACATTGAATTACACGAAAGAAAAANCTTTGAATAGTTTCTAGTTTTATCTTCCTCTTGAAGATGATCACTTGGTGATCGAAACACGTGTCGAGGTGTAAAAATAACGTTTTGGTGTTGGGAAAAAACTCCAGTAATATTCAGTACTACACCAAAGGTTCCAATCAACAATTTTTTGAAAGCACTGTTCTATAATGCTACGCACGCCTAAATTCGTTGATTCTGATTCTGTCAAAACATTGGAACAGTAGCGATATAGCAACATAGTACTAGTATATTTATACGATTATTATATCTGTTTTTCTTATACATTAATATTGTTATATTTGACTGGTTGTCGTATGAAATGTTATAGCATTAAAAAAAAATTGAAGCATCTATGACTGGGACTGAGTGAAATGGGTTATTAGAAAAAAATCACATGAAATATAATACACTTTTGATATACTCACGGAATCCAAAACATACTGCAAACATATCGTAATAATAAGGATTCCACTCAATATCGGTAACTGTACTTTTCTTTGTTTTATCATATGTGAACTTCCAAAGTGGCAGTAACGTACCTTCTTCTTCTCGAAATTCATCCGATGGATCGTCCCAATATCTGTAATCTGATTTTAATAACATTTGTAACATGAGTGAGAGTTCTTTCTCATGTTGAGTACGAGAAGGATGATTAAACATTTCATTATTATGTATCATAATATCAAAAAGATGCTTTCTCCATAAGTTAGTGAATATCTGTCCTCTAGTCGGTTCCAAAAGGGATAATTTATAAATACATTTTATTACCTTGTGTTACGTTGACAAAAGTTCACTGGTTCTAATGGAGCGCTTATTTTAATTAAATTGACTAAGTATTCACTGAGAGATCACATTTCAAAATAGACTCATAAAAACGTACAAAAGTTTTGAAACAACCTAATACACTAATTCTGATCAGCTCTATGTCAAACAAAATTTTGGATTTGGTATGGGAAAAATCATAATATGAGGATGTTTTGTGTCCAAGGATGGATACACTTTTTAGAAATGAATTCAGCGAAGTTCTCAATTTTTTATATAAAAATATTTCACATCGATCGTTTTTGAATTAACAATTTTTTGTGTATGATTTACAGGAATGTCCACAATTTGAAAATTGTGATTACTCAATGGACTAGGATTTGTAGTATCAGTTTGAATTTCCTTTCTGGAATTCCACAATATATGAATCTATCAGATTTTTACTCTTGCCAGTGACTCTTGTTAGAATACTTTTATTGACCACCCCGAAACCATTTGAAAAATAGATATTCATGATCCTACTATGATTTATACTCTTTTCATTGAGGATATTGATATTTATATCTTCACAACCAAACAATCAGCATTCATTTCATTTGAGTTGTCTAGTTTTTTAAGCTTGAATATTCTAATTTTATTGAAAGAGGTCGATATATTCCAGATAACAATGAATTTTGAAATTTCAAGCGAGTTGTCAAATATTATAGCTCTTGTTTAATTTCATCAATGATTTCGTATTTTAAATCTTCCCCACAAAAATTCCTAATCCTCCATCACTTCTTTCGCTGCTTGCAAATACGCAATTCCAGTTTGGAAAATTACAAGTTCACTCTCGTCTATTTTATTCTTCATCAATCTTGCATTCATATTCAGGATTGTTAGGCTATTTGAAACATGATTGTTGTTACAGATTTGATTTTTATTATTTGTAACAACAAATTAGATGTAATTTGTTACACATATTTCGAGTTGTTCCAAATACTTATAGAGTGAACAACTTCTACCACTAGCCATATGGCTAACAGGAAATATTCGATTTATATATTTGGTATAAATGATTATCTAACAATGAGAACATATTTGTGAATTTCGACAGTTCTTTATGGTAAGTATGTTTGAATACACAATACTGGAAACATCTGGTTATATTGAAATTTTCATTATACAAGGTTCACAGTAGAAATATTTTCATAATATTTTTGTGCATTTAATTTTTTCCAATAAAACCCCTGAAATTTTGAGAAAAATAATTTAATATTCACTCCAGTTTATTCCAATAAATATCCAAACTGTTTACCGTTCACTTCTTGGCAATAATGAAGTCTGTTTACACTATGAAATGTTCCTGGGGTAATTTCGATGTATCCACGAGTTCTAAAATGAACACTACACATGTCGGGCATCCTCGCGAAAATATTCAGAGGCGTCATATCAGGGGACTTAGTAGGTTTATCTAAAACTCATCTACCGATTTGGATAATTTACAAATCCAAATCAGTTTTCAACTGATGTTTCGTTTTGGCAACGTGAGCTACATTCTCATTATGGTTTGAAAGTGTCTAGATGACAAACCGTCGATAGGCATACGTGGTCTCTTAGAAAGGTCCGCTAAATCACTCGATATCACGCCTCTAGGTGTTTTTTAGGAAATACATATCTGAAGTATACGATATGCAATCGTAGTTCATTTCAGAACTTGTGGATAGAAAAATAGGTGTTTGCAACGGAATTACTCCTTTATAGTTAAACGAGGTATCACAATACACCTTTTCCATTTGAAAAAGGCAATTTGGAAGTTTACTCTTGGCGACGAGTGATGCAACAATAATGTATTTTTTTTAAGTAGTGGAAATGATGTATTTTTTCGTAAAATTAGTCCGATTATGATATATTGTCCCGTTAGAAAGTTAAGACGAGGGGGGACTATTTTCGTCCGCACAGTATGATATAGAACCTTTTATTAGAATTGCGAAATAGCAAGAATACTGTATTAAGTATTTCTTGAATTATAGAGCGGTCAATAAGCCAGCTTCGCTGCGATCCTAGTGGTTCAAATTGATGTCGAACGTTTGGAATTATTGGTCGGTAGTTCAAGCCCTAGTCTGAACGATCGATCTTCACTTGCTATCGTCCAACCCGTGTTAGGAATCACACGTTAAAAGGTAAGACCTCGTTAATCTTTAGAACGCACAAGTTTCGACTTCTGAGGGTTGTCGTTCGTAGGGGTGCGACAGCTGGTTAACGGAAAAACAGATTTTAAACAGATCAGATCCGTACCAACAGTCTATCGATATTTTATGTAAAGTAGAAAATCAAGTACCTCCCAAACTATACCTCTATGTTTGTTTGTCACGTTGTTGCTTCTGTACGCTGGTTCTACACAAGTAGCTTGGACGTTGAATACTTGTACGCTGCCGTCGTATAACCCAATTACGACCATATATGGATATTTGGGATGCGTATCAGCACACATGACAGCAGAATCAGTCATGCAGATGTAGTCCGGAAATGAAGGATTTTTTAAAGTGAAGAGGCAAACTGCTCCATCTGGTAATGGCTTAATGTAGTCCACTGAAAACATTGATGAATAATTAGCAATGTTTAAAAAATTTGTATGAGTAAGAGGTGCAGGATGATGGATTAAAAATTAGGAAGTAACAAAAATTGCATATAAAATCAAGGAATGGCTTGGCATACATCGTTGATATCTCCTATAAAAGCGCATATACGATAATAACTAAGGGCCAGTTGTTTTACTTTGCGCGATATTGAAAATCATGACGAAAACTTTGAAACTGCAATGGAGAAACACGGAGAATCTGGGGGTGTTGTGCTTGATATTTTTATTCATTGTGTCTGACAAGTTATAAATTTGCCAGATTGTCCTTCTACGTAGTTCTCTAGCTCTCTCAGAAACCATTTCTCATGAGAGCTCATTGATGGTTTTTTCTCGAATACCTTTACTTTATATTGTCTACACTCCCTCTATATTATGTTGCGACGACCTACTGGAAACAGTTTGGACTCCAAAATTTTGTTTTGGTGACCACATCACATTCACTTTTCTTTTCTACCTGGATTTCCGAACATTAGCTTCCAATGCGAGGATGAAAATTTACATATCACAGCTAAGGAGGTGAATGCGATAGAACCGAACTTAATAATGCCAAAGTACATAAAGGTTTCGACAGTTGGAACGGATACCAAAATATGTCTAGGAATAATCACATTACTATATATAACACTCCGAACCCTGTTCTTATGTACTCTAAACAGGCGTATTAACAAACTTCGCTATCGGAGCCACCAAACAAAGATAAGGCTAATTCTCATCTTCAGTTCAGTCTTTCGTAGTGATGATGCGACGAGAGTAAAATTTGTTAATTAGTATGAACTCAACAAAAAAACTTCATGCATTCGAAGATTAATTTATTTCTTTCCAGAATGGCTCAAATTCGGGAGCATTATCACGATTTTATAACATAAAACTCAAGGCATGAAATAAATTAAATTGAAATACTGAAGAAATCAATGTCTGTAATATAATAGGAAATATTAAATTTGCAATATGTAGACATGAGAATGAAAGATGTGATCCGACCGAAATTCGAACCCGACTCTTCTGTTTTCTAGACAGGCGCATTGACTAAATACGCAATCGGAGCCACCAAGCAAAACGATGACCGATTTATTCTTCAACTCTGCAGTCTTCTGCAGTGTTAGTGCGATTAGAATGAAATTTGTCGATTGTGATAAGCTCAACAAGTAAACTTCATGCATTTGAATATCAATTTGTTATTGCATTCCATGAAGTTCAGTTGTTGATTTCATTAGATTCGACAAATTTCTCATCACATTAACACTACGAGAGACTGAATTTGACCGTCTTTCTGCTTGGTGTCTTCGATAACGTAGTTAGTGCGCCTGTCTAGAGTACAGGAAAGCCGAGTTCGGTAAGGGCAGCTTTTCTTGCACTTGAAATAATATTTATTATTTGTGACTCAGCATCTCAGCAGTACTTCAAAGTTCACGTTTCACCTCGTCTGAATTTTATCTTAGTCTTCAAAATGTTTGTCCTTGGTTGCCAAAACTATTAAGTATTATTTTTACCGCAAACCGATTCTACATCTTATTGAATGTGGTAGTCTGCTCCGCAAACACAACCGTTGTTTTCTTCTTTTTCACCAAGTTATTTTCAATGTGTCCAGTCACAGACATAAGGTGATCGCAAAAATTACGAGAGGCGAAATTCTGCTTGCTACAGTGGAAGGTGATTCATTACAAATGATGCAGTTCGAATAACAATTAGCCTTTATGGTTATTTTACATACATAACTAGAAGGTTGCCGGGATGTTCTGATCAATCGGTAGCTGAAATTTCACTTAGTTCAAGATTAGCTATTGTTTTGCTCTTTACGACTTTAGGACTATGGAGGACAATCTGAAACTCATTTTCTGTGAACAGAGTTGCCAGTTGGAATATTCTCATAGGGATTCGCCCCTTTTCACTGATACGGTTTGCTATGACATTTGATGTAATCTTTGGTTTCCTTCAGTTATTTCAGCTGCGCATAAGTTACCAGAGAATAACCTATGTTTGTATCCTCTTAATTTTTCGTTTCCAGAGCTAATTTTTGATAAATATTTGAACACAATCATGAAATACAGATCAATTCAGAGAATTAAGTTTATAAAAGAAAGAATGAAGAGAAAAAAAAATCACCTCAAAGGTGCTGCTTCGTTTCCTCCTGTTCATAAAAGAGGACATATGACTCATCACTCACAAGCGATTTTGTTGAAACTGGGGACACGTGTGAATCGTTGTATTCATGCCACGTGCTACTATATGTGTGTCTGTAATATGCTGTGTAATGTCCGTTGTAAGTAGTCCCACTGTGATTCAAAAGTGCATATAGATTATAACGACAAGGAGCCATATTGTCTGCTGCATAATTGCTCATATCTAATCCTTCTAAAGAAAAGTCAATGGCAACATTCAATTTGTCTCTGAATTTTTCCGTTGGAAATAATCTTTTCAAATGAATTACTAAAATACAGGAAAACTTATAGATTGATAGGGACTTTGTACATTTTCTTCTTTCCCTGCACCTTGAACACATTAGTATTTCATTTCCATCCAGAGTTTCCTTTCTTGTGAAGGAATCCAAGCAATGTGACAAACTCAATTGGCCAGTTCTTTTTGGTATAGGGAGAGACAAATCCCAGAAAGGATCGAAGGTTACTGATGAGTGTCCACAATGTGTGCACTTCATAGTGGATTTTAATTGACCAATGAAATTGTCTACAATCTTAGAGTCGTCCATATTCAAATATCTCAGCTAGGACTGTTGTGCTTTTGTGTGAAATTGAATCCTTACTTCTATTTTCTTTCACAAAATTAACTGAGAACGTATTCTGCAGATCATCTAACTTTCTTCCCATAAAAGTATAGTAACGTCAAGAGTTGTGAGTTTTTTTTTTAATAGCAATGAATCAACTTTTGAACATTATCAAGTAATGAATTTGACATCCTGGATTCTTAACCATACAATGTATAACCATTTGTAAGAAACCACTATCGACAAGGGTAAAAATAAAACGCGGTACCCGAAAAAACGCGGGGCCCGATAGATTGGATGGGAATTAGTCAGTCAACTCGAGCCAGGCGAGAGCATTGTTATTCATTTAGTTATGAATATTACTGGAGCTTTTTCCCAACAACAAAACGTTATTTTTACACCTCGACACGTGTTTCGATCACCAAGTGATAATCTTCAAGAGGAAGATGAAACTAGAAACTACTCAAAACTAAAGCTATTTATGCTATTCAGGTACATCATACAGGTAGGTAATCAGTAATACCACCCATACAAGTGTACCACCCTAAATTAATNAATGATATTATTAACAAAAAATGAAAAAATAAAAATTATAAGATTTCAAACCAAGTTATGTCACGACGTTTCGATTGTTAGTATCCACAATCGTCTTCGGGTGATAACTGGACTTATTTATCCGAGATTCGACTATTTATAGGTCATTCGAGTGCTTTCACCTATCTTCCCTTCCCTCTTTCCGCTTCATTGGTTTTGGCGGAAGATGGCCGTTTGGCGGGAGTTGGTCGTTTTTCGCTCGATTAGAGGTTTCCATATGTTACGTATCTCTACGCTAGCTTGACTAAATGCGTTGTTGGACAACATATACGCGGCTTCTTTGAATTTTCTCCTAAACCAGTGTTCCTCTTTGTGGATGATTTCAGCTTGAGCCCACTTGATGTTATGTTTGATGAGTCCAAACATGCTCTTCTATTCCAGATTTGCTGGTTTTTCCTCGCTGTGTGTGTTTCTTGTGGTCAGTAATGCGAACTTTCAATGGCCTCTTAGTTTCACCAATGTATGATTCTTCGCACTCGCAGGGTATCCGGTAAATGCAATTCTTGGAATCGTAGTCCGCGTTTGGTGGCCTGGTGTTCGTGAAGCTGCTACGGATAGTGTTCCCAGATCTGAAGCAGGTTCTGATGTTATACTTGGACCCAATCCGTCTTATCCTTTCCAATAATCCTTTGATGTAAGGAAGTACAAGTACTGGTTGTGGCGGCTTCTCTTCCATGTGGAGTTCTTGCTGTCTTCTAGCTAAGGCCTGTTTTACCATCTCTTTGGAGTAACCATTCCATTAGAGGTCATTTGTTCGGAGTTGCTTCGTTTCTGAGATACAGGGCGTGGAAGTTTAAAAAAAACGGTATTTATGAAATAACATGAATATCTTTACACCGGTTCGGTGCAAATTGGCTACAGTTATTTGAAGTAATAAGGCGCTCATTTAACTCGAATCAGATTGAAATTATTAGGTCCAGTGTCGTCTTAGTGGGCACCACACAACATTAGGCAAAAAAGAACGCCACAGACTTTTTTGTAGTTTAAAATTTTTTTGTGTCAACATTTGAAAATACCATTTTTTTGTCGCTTGTATTTTGTTCATATAGCATCGTTTTCGAGAAAAAATCGAATGAGCTGCTGACCTGTCGTGCACAAACCACATGTTGCCTCTTACAAATACCGGTACTTTTTCTAACGAAATGGGTTGATGATCTCGCAAAAAGTCCGTGTAGGATTGATTCACCTGATAATCTTGCTAGTAGAAAAAATGGGGCAATTAGGTATTCACCAATCATTCCTACCCAAACGTTCAGCAAAATTTGTTGCTGACTTTCTGTGATACCGTGGTGATTTTCGTCGACCGAATAATGGTCATTGTGAAAGTTCATTATAGCATCACGTGTTTCGTTCGTAAATAAAATATTTGGTTATTATTGTGTGCCGTCGTATGAATCAGTCACATGAGAAACATTAATCTTGGGTGAAAATCACGAGGCAGTAAAGCTTGGACCCGCTGTATGTGTTATGAGTATAGGAGAATTCTTCTGACTTCCAGCTGCAGAGCAATTTTCCGGGTACTATTTGAAAGATATTCTTCTATCGCATCAAGTATAGCTTCTAGTTCAGGCGTCGTTACAGTTTCTGGTGTTCTATCACCTGCATTTTTATTAAAACTCTCAGTTTCACATAATCTTGCATGTAGCGTTCTAAACGTTTTAGCACATGGAATTACTGTCCTGGTAAATTCTTCCACATTTCCATTTGCTATACATGAATGAAGTGCGTGTCAGCCATTTCAGCGTTAGTTAAATTATTCACGATGGAATCACTTCTAACTGACAACTCTGACTTTCACTCATATAATAACACTATCACTATCAGCTTGTTTTTATAGCAGGTGTTCATGATATGCGAATTGGCTTCTTTTTTTTCTAGAAAACGAAGCTAGATATGAAGAAAACACAAGCGACGAAGAAATGTATTTTCAGTTGCCTAATATAAAAAATACTGTTTTCTGTGGTGCCCATTGAGAGTTCACTGGACATAATAATTTCAATCTAGTTGAGACTAAATAAGAGCCCTATTACTTCGAATAACTGTAACAAATTTCAAATGAATCGTTGTGAAGTTATTTATGATATTTTATAGATTAAACTTCTCAAAACGACCTAACGAATCACCCGTTGAAGTTTCCCTCTTGAAG